GGTTGTTTGGATTCATCCCATCATGTCCTAATATTTATATTTTGGATACAATTAGCAAGTACTAATATTTCTTCCAATGATTCAAATAAAATGTTTATTTCATGTTTAATGTGAAATAAAAATAAAAACCCTCAATGAGAAGAGTCCTTAGAGGAACATTTGATGTTTGAGAATATTGCTAAGCCCAGGAACATAGAAGGACCCTTTTGGTCAAGTGAGAGGCAGGATGCTTAGACAGGAACAGAACCCCTAATGAGTGTATGATAAAGAAAAGGGGCCCATGTGTGTGGTGTGAGGGCCCATGGGGATGTGTGAGTGTGGGGAAGAGAGACTTAAATGATGCCACAGTTGATTCCAGGACTGCCTCAGGGTACAGAACAGAGCCAAAGCAGGGAAAGGAATAACCCCACGGGCAGCCTCCTTCCTCAAGGTTGCAGGGGAATGGAGTAGTGGTCAACTGGGCTAACCAAAAGTTTACTCTGGGCTGCTTCAAGGATGTTATCTGACTCTAGACAGATATTCCTTAATATGGTTTGGCTGTGTGTCCCCACCCAAATCTCACCTTGAATTAAAATAATCCCCATGCTTCATGGGAGGAAACCAGTGGGAAGTAATTGAGTCACAAGGATGAGTTTTTCCTGTGCTGTTCTTGTGATAGTGAAGATATGATGGTTTTATAACAGGGAGTTACCCTGCCCATGCTCTCTTGACTGCTGCCATGTAAGCTGTGCCTTTCACCTTCCACCATTATTGTGAGGCCTCCCCAGCCATGTGGAACTGTGAGTCCATTAAACCTCCTTTTCTTTATAAATTACCCAGTCTTGGATTCGTCTTTATTAGTAGTATGACAGACTAATACATTCCTAAATGAACTCTCCTCCAACTAACTTTGGTTACAGATGGGGACTTGCAAGTGCACAGTGAGAAGGCCAGGGGGCTGGATAAGTGGGACTATAGATGTAGTCATAGCAGAAGGTACTCAGGTAAAAACTGGAGCAGGTGATTCCAAGGTGAAGAGGTGGTGCGTCTGCTGGGTGGAAACTTTCTTAGCACAGTGATTAGGGTAAAAAAACTTGGGGTAATCTTTTTAAGCTAGTATTAAATTTGTTTATTCAACATGAAAATACATGAGTTAAGTACCCACTGTGGGCCAAAGATGGTGTCTTAAGCTAAGAGTGCACAAAGAAATGGGAAGAGATACAAGATGGCCATGAATACAATTAACCTAGGTAAGTACATAAACATAACACAGAATGCTTCAGAGAAGTTGATGCTGAGATCTGACAACACACAACACTGTAATTTACTCGGAGGTGTCAAGGAAAATGGCTCAGAAGTGTTGACATTTAGTTAGGTAATGAGGAAGAGTAGGAGCCAGCTAAGTTGAGAAAAGTTAATGATTAAACATTTAAAACCTGGATGAAATAGTACTGGGTTCAAATGCTAGTTCAATCATTTACCACATGTAAAACCTTAATCTCTCTGAGCCTTCACTTCCTCATCTATAAAATGGAATAATCCTGTCCACCTTGTAAAGAGAATTAAATAAGATGATAGCTGTACAGTTTTAGGCAGTCTTGGCCCAAAGTAATTACCTGCAAATGGTAGCTATGGTTATTGGTTAGCCCAATTACTCTGATTCTGGGCCATTAAAAATGTAGAAAATGCAACCCTGAGAAATTCCAAACTTCAGGGAAGCCCAAAATTCAGAGGCTTTGGCTCACAGGTCTTCAACAGCCCAGAACACGTTGGTAGAGTGGAATGTGCTAGTACAGTGGAAAATTCTTGTAACTTGGATTATAAAATATATAGGTAAGTTTCCTCCAGTTCTTAATTTCTGCCCATTCCAGGGCTTTATAACATGAGTCACACCCAGTCTGTAACTCACAAATCCCAATAAGGAAGAAATGAAATGCCAGCCACCTTCCCTAACTCTCTGCTCCCAGTGTACTGCCAGTCAGTGTCCCGTACCTTCCTCACAGGGCAGAGCCTTCCCTGCCCCCAGCCACACCTTCCTCATTTTTCTTCTCCCTACCCCGTATTGAAAAATGTCAGAGGAGGAGGAGAGGAATTCCAGTTTAGTTTAAACAGAACTCAGGAGGAAATGGCATTTGTTTTCACAAGGAGGAAATAAAGCCTTTTCAGTCACCTTGTAAAGTTGTGCTAACATGGGCTCAGCAACCCCTTCATCTTCTCAAACTATGATGCCCTCAGGTGTGGAACTTCCCAGGGCTGAGGCTACCAGCTAAAAGCAGCCACTGCTGTGGAGGTAACAGCAAGCTCAGGACACAAGATCTCCTAGCCTCAGGCCCAGATAAAGGTTTTCTGCTTTTGGAGGACTCTTCTTCCCATGGCTGGCATCTACTGAGAAGAGCCAGTGGGTGGCAGAATAGTAAATAACGTGGTTCAAATATTTAAGTACTATTTTATCTTATACCTTTTGGCCATATATTGGGCTGTACAAACTTTCAGAAGTGCCTCTTTGCCCAGCTGTCCTCAAGGACCCATCAGGTGGAAAATAACTTGCTAATTCCAGCTTTGGTCTTACAGATTGTCTTCTGTGGACATGGAAGGGTGGCATGGAAGAGCCCCATTAGAAGATTGGGGGTACACTTAAAGATAGACAGCCACCCATCACATGGAGAAGTGGTCACTCTATCACTTACAATCTAAAAATAATGCACTTTAGTTGGGGACATTCCTGATTTATCTTTAGAAACAGGTGGTATATAAATAAAATCAATAAATCATAAAGTTGGGGACCCAACTGCTTAAAGTTAGAGAATAATCTGGAAAAGATCAAAACTGTGATTTCCTATATAAAAATATCCCTGTGGCAAGAAAGAAGAGTCTTGCAGAAAAATCAGCAATATTCCTTCTTTTCTTCCATTTCTTAAAAAGAGAAATTAAATTAAAAGGTCAGTTTTTTAAACTGCTCCTAATTGCAGTGACTATATCTTTTTGAATCTTAAAATACTCCCATCACGTTACCTTGGGGTTATAACCCTCCTTTCACAAGCTTTTAAAAGAGCTATTATGAGCCTTCGGTGAACTTTGAATTGTTCTAATTTCAACACAGTTTAGAGGTCAAGAAGCCAAGAGGAGCCTTTCAAAGTAGGAGTGAAGGTTTTCCATAAGGGAAACTGAACTTGGGCTTTCTCTGCTTGACCCAGTCTGCACATTTGAACATTCAATGACATAATTCTATCTTTACAGTAGTAAAAAGAATATTCTGATAGTTACATTAATCTGGCTCAAAGTGATTCCAGGAGCAAAGAAATGGATGTGTGAGTGTTCAGAAGCATGTAAGCTCTGAAATGGTCAAATATGATCAGCCTTCATAGACACGACAAGCTCTGGTCTTAGTCTTAATGTTAGCAATGATTTATGATTTTTTTAACTCTCTTTTAGAAATTATAACCAGCAGGAGCATGGATGTCTGATGTAGTGTTCTTTCATCCAAAACTTCTGAGATGTTACTAAAGATATAACAAGTAAACTGATTTGCTTCTTAACTGTGCTCTAATTATTTTGTTGGAAAGGCTAATAAAATGAACAGCAACAAAAGCCATTCATACCAGCAGACAAAAAATAATAAATAAAAGAAGAGATACTGAAATAATCTATGGTGATAAATCTCCAAAAATATGGAGAAGATTCATCATTTTTGAGACCTAGTACAAAAGAGATGAGAATTGGTCCAGGATCATATATTTGCATAGTGCTTTAGATTGGTATACCTGACATCTTATTTAATCCTCTTAAAATCATGCAAGATTGGTGGAACACTCTTATTCCTCTGTCTCAGCAGGTAAGTAGTATAAGAGTCGTCAGGGTTAAATAAATAGTGCATGGTTGCACAGCTACTAATGGTTGAACCACAGTTGAATTCACATATTCAGACTCCAAATCTCTTGTGCTCTTTGTAGTGTGTTTAAAAGAGGCCCGTTCATTTGTTGAAATACTAGTAAATAATTTCCCAGTGGCCTAAAAGAGTAAATGGGGTCTGTAACACCAGCTTTAGTGCCAAAAAATCACTTGAAGTATTAGGGGACAAGAGTCCAATTGATTCTTGCCATTTTTAAGGTGAAATAAAACTAAGGTATATTCATTATTACTGCAAAATTCACATAAAAAGTATGTTGTGCTTCAAAGTAGTATTTGGAGGAGGTATCGTTATTCTTACAAGTGTACATGCTCAAAGAATTTTTTAACTGCATATTAATAGTTGTTTTTGGAACCAGATTTTAAACTACAGAATAAAACATTCATGTTACCTTATATTGCACCAGGATATTTCTACAAACAAAAAATAGGGTTACCTATCAGATGTAACCTTATTATATATATCAAACTTGACTTTATTCTCTATAAAACCAAGTTTACTATTCAAGAATGAAAACTGAACATATTTCCCACAGCGGAGTTTTTTTTAAATGCTTTGACTTGATTGCCTCATTAAAATTAGGGCATCTCCTACCAAGGTAACTCTTTTGAAGTGGATACTATTGATGTTTTTATGAAAAACACAACCAAATTGCTTTGTAGTGACCCTTGAATAAAATATTTTAAGTCTCCCAATATTTCACAACTGGTAAAAAGATGAGACAGAGCCCATAAAAGAAGAAAGTAGGACATGAAGAAATGTAAAACCCACTACCCTTGAGAACAGCAGCAGCAGCAACAACAGATTGATGTCATTCTTAAAAAGATAATCAAAATATGACTAAGTACTTCTCTCTGAATTCCAGGCCACCAAAAAGTCTTGATAAATATTGATCATTTACCCAATGTCACCTGCATAAAAAGTGTTTTGGTAACAGGGTTAAGACCCTGGGTTTTATTCTAGCTATGAATGTCATGCAAAACGATCTGAAGCAGCTTTTTCTTCTTGCAGAGAAAAGATGGGATCAGGGAGAAGGTGGACACTATACATGCCAAAGTCACATGATGCCCCACATCCTCATGTATCTTCTTTTCTGTGCCCTTCCTCCTCACAGGCAGCATCGCCGCCATTACCGTGACAGTCATTGCTGTGGTGCTGCTGGTGTTTGGAGTTGCAGCCTACCTAAAGATCAGGTGAGACACAGCTTACTCTTCTTTTTTTTAATATATATTTTTTATTGCGTTTTGGGTTCTGGGGTGCATGTGAAGAACATGCAGGATAGTTGCATAGGTACATATGTGGCAATGCGGTTTGCTGCCTTCATCCCCATCACCTATATCTGGCATTTCTCCCCATGTTATCCATCCCCAATTCCCCATCCCCTGCTGTCCCTCCCCTAGTTCCCTCCACCACAGACCTCAGTGTGTGATGCTCCCCTGTCCATGTGTTCTCATTGTTCAACACCCGCCTATGAGTGAGAACATGCAGTGTTTGATTTTCTGTTCTTGGTGTCAGTTTGCTGAGAATGATGGTTTCCAGGTTCATCCGTGCTTACTCTTCCTTATAAAGAAAAGGATTCCGTTTTGTTGGGCACTGGGCTGAGAGCTGTTTTGCTGGATACTTGTTCCTTAATAGGTATCTTAGCCCTAAGAAATATTGGCTGAGAAGTGAAAATGGTGGGTGTACTCGGCACCACACAGTTATAGATGTACAGTATCTGAACATTGGCAAGGTAGAAGTAAGCTGAAGATATACAGCATGATGATGCAATGGAACAAGAATTAATGTGGAGTCGGGAGACTGAAGCCCAGGCTCCCTGCCCTCAATGTACCTCATTACCCTGGGAAAACCACATGCCTCCTAAAGCTCACCCATTCTCATCTGTGAAAAGGGGAAGAAGGGTGGGATCGATGGTCCCAAAATTCTGATGTTCTGAATAGTGAACTGTGGATTTGTTTTCACTGCTTCTAAGGTAAAATGTACAAAATATAAGGAAGGTGTGGCATTTCCTATAAAACTGTTTTCTAAGATTATGTCCTTATACTTTTGGTTCTAAAATATTTTTTCTCCTATGAAATGAAGTGACAGTAGCTGTGATTTTACTTTCTTTAGCCTAATAGGAAGTTGCAATACTCTGTGAGTCCTCCATTTTTATATTGTATTGCTCTGTGAAATCAAGTCTCAACACCACATTACTCACAGTCTCTGAGTGTCCTTCCAGCTGTAAAATGCCAGATGGCAAGTGACAGTCTTATTTGCCAGTCTGTGTGGTGCCCATAACAAAGGACAGAAAGACACAGGCTGCATGGTGAGCACACCCACCCTTGACCTCCAATTTGTTCTCCTCCCAGCAGCCAGAACCATTTCTATGCAAGCTCCTCTGTCCTGACACGCCCTTCCTGAAAAACCCCAGTGGCTCCCCTTGCACTGAGAATTAACTTGTAACTCCTCAGCATAGCCCTCAGTCATCCTGGACTGTGCCTGCTTCCCTCTTTCCCATCATCTCATCCCTCTCTCCCCCCTGAAGCCATGAGCTCCAGTCACTCCAGCTCCCTCTGATTCTAAGGACACACCAGGTTCTGTCCTTCCTTCCCCAGGCCCTGGGCTCTTGCTAGTCCTTCCCTGAGATGCTTTTCTTCTAGCTCCTTCTCATGTGGCGTACCTTGACTTTCATCTCACTTCAAGAGATGTCCTCTCCAGTTTAGTGCCCCTGTTATTTACTCTCAGTGCCTTGTTAAGTCCATCCTGGCTGTGATCACTGTCTATTATTCTATTTTATTATTGTCATTTTGTTTTTGCGTGTGTGTTGCTTGTTTATTGTCTATTTCCCCACCAAAAAGTGTAAGCTCCTTAAGGACCTGGATTTGTCTGTGAGGATGGTGCTGGGCACCAAGATGGTGCTTGACATACTGAATAAATGAACAATGAAACATAAGGACATACAATCTTATGGACACTGTGGTACACACACACACAGACAGCCCTGACTTGTCCCCCAGCAGCCATGCTTCTTTCTCAAGAGGCTGTGCCACCCTGTCCTTCCCTCCTGCCCTTGTTCCCATGTGGAGCTCGTGGATATGATTCCTCATCTCTCAGCACCCAACTATTTGCTGCTGCCTCCTCTCATCCCCACTCACCACCCAGCCCCACCCAGTGCCCACTGGGAGCACTTCCCTCCTCCTTCCCTTTTATCTCCCTCCATCTTGTGTTCTAAATGTGCACCAAATCAATCTTGATAATGTCAAGTATGAGAGTGCCTTGTAAGATCACCTGAATCTAAGATACAAAGAACAGGAAAGCCAGGTTTTGAATAGAAATTGGAATTAAAGGTCCCGAATGACCTGTTTCTAATAAAAGATTTTATAAAAAGCATCCAGAAGTTTCTTCCAGATTAAAAAAAATATTTTTCTTCATTAAGTCTGCATTTCCTTGAGCACTAAACTTAATGTTATCAATTAGATCTTACTGAATGTACCTTTTCCCATCTGGTTTAATTACTAGTTTATTGCTGCAGACACACCATATTTTAATTATGAGTTAAATTGGCTTTTATGAGCTATGCTGGGAACCTTGTTTCCATTTTGTAATAAAGTATCTGTTTAAAAATATATTCTGCCCCTCCCTGCCCCAAAAAGGAGCTTACACATACATTTTAGAGTCATTTTAGAATCACCAATGGTGATTCTAAATCACCCCTGAAGGGCTACCTTACCAAAAATACGACCTTCTCTAAAGTGTGGAGTGAAATAGAAACACTTCCTGCTTGCTATACACTTCCCCAAACCAGTGTTGAAATAACTGGAAGGACTCTTCCTCTTCACTTTAGACAAGAATTCAAGTTTACCACTTCTAAACCCACACTGGCTATAGGCAGACAGTCTAGAACAGTAATTAACAATTCAGACTCCAGAAGCAAGGAGACCTCAGTTCTAATCCTAGCTCTACTACTTCCAGCACTGTGACCTGGGCATGTCACAGAGCATCACTAACCCTCATTTCCCTGACTTGTGAAATAAGGGTGGTAGTTTCTACCTTGTAACATTGTTTAGAAGCAAGTACACAGTACTGCCAACATCATCATCATTGAAGTGGTAGACTGGAAGGAGCCCTGGGAAGACAGTCCTTGATAGATAGCTGTAGCGCATTAGCCATGTGCCAGGCCACATCCATGATGTGACACAGGTCTGCCACCACAGAACTTACCAGGCTTGGGAAATTTTGTTAGCAGGCCATTACAATTTGCTCTGATGAGTGCTGATTAAAATGTTATTTTAAGCTATATTTTCCCCAGGCCTTCAGAGCACCAGATAAATTAAGTAAATGATTAAATTGAATAAATCATTATTCTTCTTCCCCATACAGGTTCTGCCTCCTAAATGTAGTAAGATCCACAGTGGCACAAATATAACGTTGCTATTTATCTATTATGCTACTTAAGTTTAAGCACTATAAACTTAAGGCTGGATACAGTTATTATACCCTTAAGAGGTTTCAGAAACCCCCTAAGAAAAACCCCTTTCTTCTCCTCTGTTAATTATTTTGGTAAAATGAAAACTTAGAAGATTAATTGCTGTTATGAATCTTAAGGCTATGCTAAACCCCCTTCAAGTGTTATTTTGCCAGGTTCTTGGAAAGCCCCACTAATCATTCATCAAAAATACAGTTGGTTCAACTGACATGTGTGTGTGCATGTATGTTCCTAAGGACAGGCTTTCCTTTGATCAGAAACTTATTCTGCTTTCATCATCCCAGATTTCTAAAAGCAGTAACATAACAAACGATCTGTCTTCTGTGATCTTTTAGCTGGTTTGGCTGGAGCAGCAAGCGACTAAAATCACAACCCATAGGGAGCCATTAGCTTCTGACCTGCAACCATGGGATATGACCCTGGCCCAGCCAAGGTCTCTGCAAATGCAAGGGGAGAATCTGCTTGAAAAGGCAGCCTCACGACCAGAAAAATAGCATGCTTAGCAAGGCTCTGCTAACAGTGGCTTGGGACTTTTCAGCTTTCTTCCCAATCAATCCTTATTTTCTCTAAAGGCATTGTAGACTTAAGAGCCATCTGTTTTTCACACTCCCTTTCTCCAGGGACCCATCACCCCTAGTTTTGTCAGTGTCCCTCCCCTGCCTGGAGAACCACATCTTTTTGTAACCTGAGTCACTTTCAGATTATAAAATGAACTGCGCTGAACCCAGGGCTCTTCTTGGATTATAACCCCAGCTTTTAACCAGCAGCAGTGTGGTGTGGAGGAAAGAATGTGAGCTTTGCAGTCAAGTTTAATGCTGACTCTTCTGCTTACTATTTAGGCGGCCTTGGGCAAATTATGAACTCCTTGAACCTCAGGTTTTCCAATCTGCAAAAAATGGAGCTAATAATATATTTCTTTCAAGGTTGTTTTAAAGATGAAATGAAGTAATGAATGCAGAGTACCTGGAGAGACTGTAGCATGGTGACTAAGAACATGTACTCTGGGGCAAGTTTCTGGGTTTTTTTTTTTTTTTAGAGACAGAGTCTTGCTCTGTCACCCAGCTGGAGTGCAGGGGTGTGATCTTGGCTCACTGCAACCTCTACCTCCTGGGTTCAAGCGGTTCTCCTGCCTCAGCCTCCTGAGTAGCTGGGACTACAGCCACACACCACCATGCCTGGCTAATTTTTGTATTTTTAGTAGAGACGGGGTTTTGCCATGTTGACCAGGCTGGTCTCGGTCTTCTGACCTCATTATCCACCTGTCTCAGCCTCCCAAAGTGCTGGGATTACAGGCGTGAGCCACTGTGCCAGGCCTGAGCAAGTTTCTTAATCCCTCTGTGCTCAGCTTCTTCATGTAAAATGAGAATATAATAACAATAATAATACCTAACTCAGGACTGTTACAAAGATTAAATTATACATATAAACATTCAGCGCCTGATATGACGTGAGAATGATGGAAGGGCAACTACTGTTACTGCTGTAGTTGTTGTTAGGACAGTGCTTAGCAAGTAGGGACTCAGTAAAGTGGTGACCACCAACACATAGGCTGTGAGGTTGGGAGCACAGTCTCCATCCTACCATTTTCATTCAGTAGGCACGAGGGATTCAAAGGAGAGGGGAGAGGAGGAGGAGGAAGACGGCACAGCAGCTTATTTTCTAATTGTATATTGATGTGGCAGGCTTCCATGTTCCAGTTTGACAGTTTCGTTGGTGCTGTTCTCA